CTCAGCAGCCCCAAGGCCAGCCGGGCCGACTCCAGCATCGTGCGGAGGCCCGAGCCCCCAACACGGGTGCTAGGGGGGCGCACGCCAGCAGCCAGGCCTGCCAACCCTAGAACGGGTCGTGCGTCCGGACACCCTCCAGCCCTCGTGGCCTTGGAGACCTGGGGGTACATCCTCAGAAACTGGATGGGACACTGGTGTGTGACCACAGATAAGATTCGAGCACCCCAGGTCACAGCCAGAGGGTCCCCCTTCCCTCCCACTGCCCTGGTGGTTAGGGGGGACGCTCCTTGGTCATAGGGTTTAGAGCCCCTACCACAGGTTGTTTGGGGGGGTCTCAGGCCGCCCCAGGTGGGCTTGCCTGACTGGGGTCACCCCTTTGTGGGGCCACACTTCTCCAGACTTGCAGTTTCTATAGGGCCCAGAACAGTGCCTGACGTCCCCTAGCAGGGACCAGCCCCCATAAAAGTCACCGATTGCTGGTTTCTGTTGTCATAGCAACCAGGATGGCTCTCCCGTTTGGCGGACGGGGGGTCACCCCCTGCCCCCTTCCTCTTTATAAGACACCGGGCTAAGCCCCCAGGTGCCTGTTGGTCCTTCCTCTTTGAGGGTGTGCCCTTTGGGGAACCCCGGTTGCTAAGGTCAGCTTTCCTTAGCAACCAGATCTAGCAGGATTCAGGGAGCCTGGCCTGGATTCTGGTCACCCCGGGCAACCAGGCCTGGTGGGGACTCCTGGAGCAGGCTTGCTCCAAGCCCCAGGAGGTCAGAATGCCTTGCTGTGGGGGTGTCCTATGCACCCTACACCCCCATTCCTCCAAGATGGACACAAGCGGAAAGGTCTCCAGACATTGCCAGTGTCCCCGGACGTCCCCTCCCAAGGTGTCCGGCTCCTCCTGCTGAGAACGGGGACCATGTCACCCGACAAGGCACAGGGGACGCCGGCTGTGACCGAGGCCGAAGCCCAGCGGGGGCCGGTTCTTCTGGATCGTCTGGGCGGAGCCTTGAAGGAACCTTCCCCAGGTGAGGGCAGCGTCCGGGGAACATGTGCCCTTCAGGGAGGTGCCCGTCACCAGCTGTGCAGAGGGACCGTGAGCGAAGGAACTCGGGCCTGTGGCCTCTGGGAAGGCGGAACCGATACCCCGGCCCCCAGCCTCCAGGAGGGAGCCTGGCCTGGCCCCCAGGACACCTTGAGAGTCGCCCCCTTGGTTCTGACCTTGGGGAATGGTTCTGACCTTGGGGAAACAGGCCCCAGGCTGGAACTGCTGCTCTCCAGCAGACGTGACCCTGGGCTTTGGCCTTTGGTGACAAGGTCATGCGGGCGTCTGCCCCCCTGGCTGGGGTCCTGCCTGCTCTCTTTCTGCCTAGGCCAGTGACGGCGAACCTTTTGAGCTCGGCGTGTCAGCATTTTGAAAAACCCTAACTTAACTCCGTTGCCGTGTCACCTATGGAAATTTTTTGATCTTTGCAACCATAGTAAAACAAAGACTTCTATTTTTGATATTTATTTTATATATTTAAATGCCAGTGAACAAAGAAAAATCAACCAAAAAAATGAGTTCGCCTCTGACACGCGTGTCATAGGTTCGCCATCGCTGGACTAGGGCCCGGGGACCCCATTCCCACCCGTCTCAGGAGTGGGGCTGAGCAGGGCTGTCTTGACTGAGGAACTGTGGTGGCCCCTGGTTGCTAGGGAATTCCGCTCCCTGACAACAAGGCTAGCCCCCAGGGAGCCCACCCCCTGGGGCGCAGACACAAGCTCCCCGGTGAGGCCCGAACTCGCTCCCAGGTCTGCAGGTGAGGCCTCAACGGGATGACAGGCGGGTCTCGCTTCCCCACAGCTGGTCTTGCCTGCGAACCCAAGGCTGCAGCCCATGGTCGCTGGGAGTCTGCCCTCCGCCCCACATGGAACAGAGGATGGACAGACAGCCGGCACCACTGGCTCCCTTTCCATCTGGTACCATCTTAATTTTTTTCATCCTCATTTATCTAGTCATCTTTGACTTCATTCTTATCGTCTCAGCTCAGTTTTGCATCTATTAAGAACAGCAAGTTGCCTGGCCGCCGCGGCTCCGTGGTTGAGCGTTGATCTATGAACCAGGAGGTCACGGTTCAATTCCTGGTCAGGGCACCTGCCCAGGTTGGAGGCTTGATCCCCAGGAGGGGTGGTGCAGGAGACAGCCAATCGATGTTTCACTCTCACATCGATGTTCTTCTCCCTCTCCCTTCCTCTCTCTAAAATCAGTAAACATGTTACAGAAAGGCGGGAGGGGAGGAGAGGGTGTGGGGGTCTGAGTGAGGAGGGGCTCACACAGTCAGGCACAGCTGAGCACTGTCTCCTCCCTCACGCCGCCCTCCTGGGCTGCTATCCTATCTCAGCCGTCCTGAGCATCCCAAACACCAGGCTGGGTGGGGGCAGCCTTGTTCTTCAATAAATTTCAACCTTTGCTATAAAAAAAAAAAGATTTTAAACTGGTTTTTAGAGAGAGGGGAAGAGAGAAACATCCATGTAAGGCCAAACATCGATTGCTGCCTCCTGCAACCCAGGCATGTGGCCTGACTGGGAATCAAACCGGTGACCTTTTGGTGCACAGGACAGTGCTCAACCAAT